AGACATAATATTCAGATGGCCACTAACTTTTCATCCGCTACACTGACAACACAAGTTTATAGCCCAGTGACTCGGTGCAAGAATAATTTAAGTTAGCGAACGGCGCGAAGCGAGCGCTTGGCGGGGAGGGACCGATTATGTTCTCCTTTGCGGCGTGCCGGTAGATGGCTCGCTGAACAGAGGACCATGTCGAGGTGCTGGCAAATTTCGCAAAGCACATCCGGCACGTGAGCGATAGTTTCAATCGCGTGATATAAACTACGCGACACGCATGGAGCGGTGCCGCGAAAAAGGAGGTGATAAGAAGTGGGGTTGACGGTGCGGTAAGGGTGTTACAGCGACGGCAAATGAGCACCACTATTTTGCTGCATCACGGGGCTTTCCTACACCGAGAAGTGGGCAAGGCGGGGCAAAGTTTGTAGCGCCGCCTCACAGGCTCCTAGCAAAGCAGAACATTATCGGGCAGTGGATAGTCCCGGCGTTCGCTCAATTAAAGTATTCTTGCACCGTGCCCTGTGCCAAGCTTCATTATCCACAACGACGAAAGGCTTATATGTGACTGTGTAACAAACTTGTTCTTCTCGTTGTGAGGCAGTTTTTTGCACATTATAATTATCAACGTATAACTAGGAAACGCAACGTATGCATACCTTTACACATTCCTTTGACACTGTTGTGTCCCAATTACCTAATCTCAAAGTAGATACAAGCAAAAAGTTTAGCAGCGACAGCAGTATACACTTAGGACACAAGCCTCCATTAAAGTACCGAGTCGTTAGCCTGGCCAAACCTCCGACAGGTGGCAGTAATTTTGCATAAGGTCTATATTTGCTTCGTTGTTTCCGATGTCTCCTAGTGCGGTTTCTGGAAACCTACACCCGTTTCCAGGGATTACTTCTGTCGTTTCTCTCCGTCAAGTGCCGGCATAGCAGCCACAGGTGGGCTGCTGGCGAAGGCCTTCAGTCTCAACCCTCGATAGTGCAGCAATATATTCTCTATGTTTTCCTCTTCCAGCGCGCAAAACGGGCGTGATATGTCGTGGTGGAGGATGTACAGGGCTGGTCACTGTTACAAGTATCACGGTGCGAGTGGATGCTTCTCGCACCACGAAGCGGGCGCTGCACGAAGTATTATGGCGCAAGCGAAATCAGTGCCGGAGGTGTAGTTAGGTGCGCGTCATCTGCTACGTTCCTGCCACTTCGTCGCACGCGCTGTGTGAAAACAGCATGCGCAATGTATATTTTGCAGCTCGCAGCGAAGTAGAAGAAACCGTAGCAGACGAGCCACAGCTAACTCCACCTCTGGCACTGATTTCGCTTGCACCGCAATATTTTTCGTGAAGCATCCGTCGTGGCGCTCCGCAAAGCGCAACTACCTGCTGCGTGTTATCTGTAACAGTGGCCGCACTGGTACCTGACTCAAAGATGTCGGGATCACTGCTTGCCACATCAACTCAAGGGCGCTTGCCTTAAAGTTCTCATACAGCGACTTTCTCAATCACTTGCTTTGCCTTTCTCTAGAGACTCAAGGTGGGCTTCCCCGCTGCTGTTATCTGCCAGCTGGTACTTTCGACCACTTTCACAGCTTTGCTGACCTTCGTCCTCCCTTCCCGCTGAAGTTTTTACGTGCTTCAGCATGGTGTGGCCTCGTACGCTCGGCCAAGCGTTTTGTGCGTACCATCTACCAGGTAATGGTCCGCTTTAGGTGGATACATTTATATTCCTCATGCGTTCATCGTCCACTCAAATGAGTTTAAAAGAGCTTCCAGCGCGTCAGTGGAAGAGTAGCGAACATCGTGCTGCAACGCATTGTTTGCTACGAGCCTGTGGACTGCTAGTACCGCTTTACCTGCCTCGCTCTTACGTATTTCCATAGGCTGACTTGTCCTGAAAGACAGGCAGAGCTCACTGTTCGCAGAAGCAGTGGGCGGGAAATTAATTAAAGGTTTGACAAAATTATTTTTGAAGAGCCTTCTCAACGTACATGCAACAAGGCTTACTCGTGTTCACACAATAAAAAAATGTGATGTGCTGTGGGCGAGCGTTTGTCTTACGGATGCTTTATTCTTGTACGGCCTCTTTATCTATACACAGTGCAAGAGCATATTTTAAGCACTCTCTGTTAGACACAATATTAATTAGATATAACAGAAAATCATGCCAAGGAATCTATAGGGGACATTATTAGAAGTAATTGTATTGTAAAAAAAGTTGATGAAATGATAACTTGCCATGGGCAGGGACTAAACTGGCAACGTTTCAATAACGCGTCCGATGCTCTACCATCTATCTATCTATCTATCTATCTATCTATCTATCTATCTATCTATCTATCTATCTATCTATCTATCTATCTATCTATCTATCTATCTATCTATCTATCTATCTATCTATCTATCTATCTATCTACGAAGTGCGAAGCATTTCTTAGCAAACTTTAGAGACTTTGAGAGTATCTATCGATCTAGCCGCTTACATTTGGGTGCTTTAGTGGTCACCCTATTAACTTGGCGTGAACCAAAATTAGCATGGGAGGGAAAGGTGGTTTGACGAATATGACGCACTGGGGAAGACATGAATATTATCACAATCGCGTCGCGTAAGTCGTGAAAAACTTCCGACTAGACAGTGGCACATACCCATGGGCGGGTATGTGCCATGGTATGCGCGTATGTGACTCAGGTGATTGATACTTAGTATCTACTCAGAAACAACGAGAACGCTCATGGGCACGAGCGTTAAGGAATACTCCACATCGGTAGCATCGACCCGACGAATGCAATGAAAAAAATGTCAGGGTCCCAGCGGAAATCAAACACAAGCATTCATCGTGGGAATGAAGCATTTTACCACAAAGCTACGGCAGGTCTCGGAACTAGTTTCGATAGAGACGTTAATCTTAGTGAAACGTAAAAGTGGTTGAAGTGCTGCCTATACCCAATTTTAAAACATTTCGTATGTACTTTTTTGATACAGCCGTCACATCTGCTTAAAGTCAATTGTGGCTAGTTTCCAAGCGCTGAAGTTGATTCCAAGCACTGAAGTTGATTTATATATCAGTGTTCATGGCCACTCGCGAGCCTCAGTTCTTCATAGCAGCTTCTGGTGTTGCTAATACGCATGTTCCAGTTGGCATCGTTGCACAAGTGCAAACAACTAGTTATATAAACATCTGTAACCCTTCAACTTAGGTCTGTGCGTGCAACATTTGCACATATAATTAGCGTCAATTCATGACGTGTCGCACAAGAAAAAAATTGTAACATGGTCACCTTCCCTCCACAAGCTTCGTATAACGTCGATCCCCACGTACAGAGTATCTGCCGAATTTTTATCTATCTATCTATCTATCTATCTATCTATCTATCTATCTATCTATCTATCTATCTATCTATCTATCTATCTATCTATCTATCTATCTATCTATCTATCTATCTATCTATCTATCTATCTATCTATCTATCTATCTATCTATCTATCTATCTATCTATTTACCTGGGTACATATAAACTGCCAGTCAGCTGTGGCGTATACCTGCACGCAATATGCGCTGCATAAGTCTGCCTACGTGTTGGTGCTCTTGTGATCACCTCGTTGGCGAAAATTTGCTAAAGGACAATAAGTGTGTGTAACGAATGCGATTGCCTGGTAATGACAAGACCCTTTATCCGGTCACATGGGGCACGTGCCTGTATAATACTGGCTAGGGTTGGCACCACAGGTGGTTGACAGTTTATATGTATCCAGGAACGATGACAAGATACATTGGTAATATGATTGCGAGAGCGTCACGAAAATTTGACATCGGCAGAGCTGACCTGCCGAATACAAAGCTAAAATTAAGGATCCCAGCGCGGAATCAAAGCAGTGCACAGGGCAGTCAGGTATTCTACCACATAGTCACGGCTGGTCTGGAAACCGCATTGGAAAAATTTAATAATAATATTAGTATTTGGGACTTCACGTTCCAAAATCTAGATTTGAATTTGAAGCACGCTGTAGTGGAAGGCTCCGGAAATCTTGACTATCTAGGGTTATTTCACGTGCCCTGACATCGCACAGTACAATGGTCTGTTGAAACCATTTAGCCTCCACCGAAACGTGGCTGCCACGGCCTGAATCCAACCCGTGAACTTGAGGTCAGCAGCAGAGCACCGTAGCCACTGATCCGCCGTGGCAGACTACTTTGGAATTAAGCCCTGTGCAGCCAAACTGTCGATAAAATTCTGTTGTAATTGCACTGCTGACATCAATTTCAATAAGAAAGCAACAGATGTTCTCTTGTGAGGCAGGCGTCATGTCGAATTAACCTTAACACTGGTTCAAGTGTTCTCTCCGGTTTTACATTGAATTCATATTTATGTTTTAGCAAGGTAAAATCAAATGGTGCTTGAGACCCGGCGAAATAAGGTAATGCAAGTGGTCTGTGGTATTCACATCTCACCGTAAAGTACACTTCATTTTGATAACACTCACGTCTGTGCTCTAACATGGTTGCTGAAGTCACGTCAGAACGTGAATTACCTTTACAAAGCCAAATCATCAAAGTTCGAAGTAAGCGCATGATGTGCGCACAACTATTACGCTTACATAAACATGTTATTCACCTCGTATCGCTGAGCTCAAGAGCAGCAGAAGCCGAATAGACATTTAGCCACCGACTGCTTTGCATAAAACCGATTCACATATGACGACCAATCTGCCGTAATTTTCGTGCAAGATTGTTATTTTGGCTGCGCAATCTTGCGTCGTTTAGAAAGTATTAACAGACATGTACAAGTTGGCTTTGACATGACGTTTTTGTAGAGCACCAACGGCCAAACCTATAAGGAGCGCGACGGCGTTATCCAGCACAAAAAAGAGGCGCACCTGCTATGGGGCGACTCCTTAACTTCTCACTCTCATCAGCGTGTTACGCCATTGCATCATGCCTTAACATAATTAAAGATGTTTCACACTAATGAGAAAGTAAAACGTGAAAAGTAACTGCCATGAACGAACCTTGAATGACTTGTCGTCGTGCATCTGAATGGCGAAGCTGTAATAGGTTCCTTGTACTATGGAGGTTGGAGGATAGATTCGTTTATGTTCCTTACCACCTGAACCTCCCATAATACTCCAGTACGGTTCTTTTTTCTCCATTTGGACGCTTACGAAACTGGAGTCCAGCTTACCATCTTCGTATATAACGAGCTGAGCCGTCTGCCTGCACATAAAAACATATGCAGCGTATTTAAGGAAATGTGTTCAATATTATTTAAGAATGAGCAAAAGGTGCTCTTTGTTTGCAGTTTTGGCAGTTGCTCTTTCTGTAGCGGCGGTTAATTTAGGAAAAATGAAAATATTACTAAACAGTAATTATAAAAGGTAAATAATATTGCTTTTATTTAGCGTAGTTAGACAGCTATGTCAAATGGGAGAATTTAAGTCATTCATGCGAAGAGCCCATTGCTGCTTTCAGTTTCTAAAAGCGGCTTCTAGCAATAATTGCGAATTAGTGAAATTCTTCCGAGTTTTGCAGCGAAGCCAAAACCAAATGACGGAGGAGAGCAACAAGCAGTCAACTACAATGACGTGACAACTCAAAACAGCTGTTACGGGACTGCAGTTCTTATACTTTTGGAAACGTATGTGCGTTATGCGTGCTGTAATTGCAAGCGCAGCACACACACTCACACTACGAAGTACAATAACCAACGCATATGGCAGTAGCGCTCCTACGCGTTTTGGTTTCAGTTTCACCGCGAAGTTCAGAAAAATTTCATTAATTAGCAGTTATTACTAACGGGCCCTTTTCCGAAATCTTAAAGCAGCAATGGGTTCTTCGATTCAAGGGCTTCAATGCTCCCATTTGACTTCACTGCCTTACTCCACTAAACAAAAAGTTTAATTATTTAACTTTCCTAATTACAGTTCGAAATAGTGTGTCCAAATCTGTTAAGATGCCTGCCGCTACAGCAAAGGCAACTCTGAAGACAACGAGAAAATAGTGCATTCTACAAATTTTTAAAGAATATTTCACACATTTCTTGAAACAAACTTTATGTACTATGACATCTCGGATCCACAACAAGCAAGCTCCTAGGATGCATTTTCATATTATGCATGGCAGAATGCAAGTGTTGCGCAATTTCACGTCAGAATGTACAGAGACAATATGGATTCGTAGTCGGAAAAACACTTCATGCTGGACGTGATCGTAAGAGAAAGTTTTCGTTATTGGCGATTCTGGCCATATATCATTAGCAAAGCCAGTTGGTGAATTAAAAATGCAGTTAAAAGAAAGAAAAAGCTAAAGAAATCTTAGCTCGACGTTTCTATATGCTCAGTGGGAGTTCAGTATATATAAAAATATTTTTGATGATCGTTACAAATTGAAACTTCTAATTATCACAGCTGGTGGAAGGTTATCAAACGAGCATTCTTCAGCAGTCTTCAGCAGTGTCGATATGGCTTCAAGTTTTGAAGCAATTACGTTAGTTTAGACATATACAGGGTGTTTAATGATAACAGCTGTTTGGCTGAGCCTAATGTCAAGACATACATAGGCCTATACATTGCTCTCGTGGTGGAGTAACACTGGCGGTAATTTGTTCAAGAGGCTCATAAAAAGGACACTTAGTTGTGCCATCGCACCAAACTTCTACTCTAAAAAACTCCCTGTGGCGCGGTTTTTACCACGTAAATTGGAAAACAAAATCACCGCCACATCCACAATGCAATGTACTAACCACTATAAAGGAAACGAACAAGCTGATTAAGGTCCAGGACCTCACCTATCAATTCCTGGCTGTAGAGAGGGGCCGCACGAAGGCGGTCAAGTTGAACCTGATCGTCCCCGAGTGGGCATAGCCAGGTGGCGCTGAGCTAACTCGCATCTAATATGGACCAAATCAAGTTGTTTCACTTACTCAACGCATTATCCACAAAGTGAATGATGTTATAGGCGCTTGCTCAGAGGTGCACCAGGAGTTTCTTAGCGAGATCATCTCTGTAGGAAGGTTTAAAGAGCCGGAGCAAAATGTGCACAGTACGTGGAAGGCAACGTTGTTAGGCATGTTCCGCGGCTGGAACTGCACAGTGTTACCGCGTCGATCGGCTCGTTAACCCTCTGCCCCTTTGGGCCATACTCGCCGCTGCGTTGAGTCAAATGCCCAGCGCTCATAAATGGCACACGTGGAGCGGTCAGGCGTTCTTGCATGGGGTTGAGAGCAGGCAGGGGAAGGGGCTTGGGGGGAATATCGGTACCTGTGCGTAACTTTCATCATAGGAACTTGTCATGTGCTGCCTTGTCCACAAAATGACAAAAACAAAATAAACAAAGTCGTGAGGAGGTGGGAGCACGGGTCATTGAAAACCGACGCATTGTAGGAAGTTTTCATGTGTGTGCCGCCTCGCCTTCTGCAGCGCGTACACGAAGTCTTCTTAACCATGATCTGATGATGATGATGTTGATAGTGAGACCATTCTCTTCGTAAAGGATGGGCACCTTGTGGCACTCTATTCAATCATAAATAAATAGATAGTACAATAAAAAGACAAAAAAGAAGCAAATGCAGACTGGGCAGGCTGGGAGTGAAAACTATCCTCACGACGCCTCTAGAGGGTTTTTCTCCTCCATTGTTCTAGGCAAGGCCTGCCGCGCCTCACTACATTGTAGTCCACCATGCCATCTGCACCAACAAACCCCAGAGGTACAGCAGAGAGATCTGTCTTCACACTAGGAGGGTTATATTGCGTGCACATCGTCACATTGTGTGCGATGATCTCATCAGCCCCACAACATGCGTGAAACACCACACTCATGAGTTCACTGTCGTATGCTTGTTTACGGACGAAAGTACGCTGGTCTCCCCCTGTCTCCTCACACAAAAGCACACTTCCCAAGCCATTACCATAAAGTGCAACTGGAGTAATGGTGTCCTTGTGCTGACGGTAAAAGAGTAGAGTAGACTTCTTTGCCTGAGCTGGCCTCCTCTTGTCTTCCTCGGCATCCTTCACACGCTGGAGAATTTCTCTAGTGCGCTCACGTTTGTTTTCGGCCGCAAGTGGCACCTTAAAACGCCATGCTTTTTTTGAGTTGGTATACTCGACGTATCCACTTGGTGCGCTTACAGGTCACAATGAGGTAGTCAAAGACTTGTCGCAACCACCTTTCGCGAGCCATGTACAAGAAGCGGCAGTGGAACGTCATGAAAGAATGGATGTATGGATGAATTAATGAAGGTATCCAGGTGTGCCTTGTGGATTGGGTGTTGGCTCCCACCACCTTACCATAAAGTCAAGTACTATCACTTGTGTTAAATATTAAATTTTTCTCTCAACTTGATTGGAGCCACCAAGAAGTTAGCCTCTTCCTGGTTATTTCTGCCCGTTTAAAGTGTATTTTATCTTCACCGGCCCAAAACCCCAATAATATGAAAAATTCCGCGTCAATACTTTAACTTGGACTATTGAGTGAAGCTCTTTACAGAACATTATCAAATGTTGAGCCGTTTCCTGCTTCTCTCCATGCGCACTACATACCGTGTCTGTGCCTTCGTATTAGGCTCGGTACGTCTAGGTCTGTAATACTCCTGTTTTGGCCTCGAATAGCAGGGAAGTACTCCTCGAATTATCGTAGATCTTTATTTTGCATTTTCCTGCTTTTCCTGTAGTATTCCTGTGTTCACCGAAAGCAAGTTGATCTATGCCACGTTGTTTAATTTTCAATCTTGATTGAACCTCTGATTTCATGAAAAAGACCGCATTGCCGAACGCCATACGCGGCACTATGACACCTTTCCAAATCCCTCTGACAACGTCATACATATTGTAGCTCCACAGAGCCCTATTTTTTGTTACAGCTGCATTTCTGCTACCCTTAGTCAATACGTAACTTTCGTGCTTCCTTACGTACTCAGCCCCATTGTTTATTCATGCACCCAAATAATTATATTTATCCTCTATTTCTAGCGTAACTTCCTGTATCTTCTGTTCGTTGCCTTCACTATAATAAAAAATTAGGATTACTAATTTTCCGCAGCTTAACTTCAAATTTAACTTATCTCCTTTATTACCGCAGATATTCATCAGTCACTGCAGATCTCCCTTGTAGTCGGCTATTAATTCTATATCATCTGCATACATTATTGCTCCTAATGACTGTTCAGCGTCATTTTCTAGCTCTGCAAAAAAGAGGCTGAAGCTGAGTCGACTTCCCTTTAATTTGACTTCTAGTCCTTGTAGATACTGCATAAAATACAAAGGTGACAAGGTACATGCCTGTCGAAGCCCACGTTGCATCTTTGTAGGTTCGGATAACTGTTCTTTCCATTTTATAGCTACCTTGTTATATTATGGATATTTTTCAGAAGATTAGTTAATCCATCTTCCACATCTAGTGCGTGCAATATTCCCGAAAATTCTACTTGAACCACGCTATCATAAGCTCCTTTGATATCTAAAAATTCCAGCAACAGGGTCCTGTGTTTTGCTGCAGTTTAAATACGCTGCAACAATGAAAACAAATTGTCACCAAATTTTTTTCGTTTACAGAAGCAATTTTGTAGTTCTCCAAGCATCCCCTTATTGTCTAGCCATACCTGTAGTATTTCTTTCACTATTTGCATCACCAGCCCTGTAAACTACTGATGTCACTGTTATAGGACGATAGTTCTTTATATCTCCTTTATCTAACCTTCCTCTATAGATCACGCTCATCCTGCTTGGTTTCCACCCGTTGGAGGCTTCACCATTCATTATTTTTTTGCTCGCTGCCTCTCTTAATGTATGCATAGAGTTTGGTCCTAGTTGCTTTATTAGCATAATTGGGATGCTGTCAGGGCTGGTTGATGTGCTACAAGGAACCCTCTTCTCTGCCCTTCACCACTCTCGTTGTCCCAGTGGAGCCTCGGCGCTAATTGGTTTATCCTCATCCAGTATGGTGCCTGCAGCGCTTTTTTGGTGTTTAATTTTTTTGTCCCCACTGTTTTTTATGTTCCATATTCTCACCCCCTTCAAGTTTAACCCCATGCACTGTAGTTAAAAACCTCGGGTCTATGCGTGTCTTATTACTCAGAGAATGGACATGGTTCCAAATGTTTGCGGCTGTCTTTATATACTTTTTGTTTACTTCTGGCATCTATTTGGCCCCCTTTCTTCTAATCTTTTCATTGATCAGATAGAATGCTCCTCTTCTGCAACTCAAAAAGTTATTCCATTTTT